GGCCCTGGGAGGAGCTGCCAACTATGGTTGTTAAGACATGACTTTTAAATTGCCTTCCCACATGAGAGATGTTGAAGTGTGAGACAATGAGCATGTTAGAATCACTGAAGTACAGTGTTCTCTCTCATCCTTGCAGCAGCAAAGTAGATACACTATCATTTTACTTCATTGAAATGTTGTCTTTGTAAAATAGTAACGGTAACAATTATAATATTACCAACGATTATTGAGCTATTATTTTGTGCAAGGAACTGCCAGACATTTTGCATAGCTTTTCATTTAAGCATCACAGTGGGGTCCTGTAAGATAACTACAACTTCACACCCATTTTGTTGATGAGTACACTGAGGCACAGACAGTCTAAGTGAGAGCTAATAAGGACAGTGTTTAAGTAGAAGCCAGACCCAAGTTGAGCTGAATCTCAACGGCATGCCCTTTCTATTCAAACAGGTAGTTCTCCCATTAATGCGGTGAGTAATAAGAGCTAATAAATATTATTCTTTCCCCATAGAAAGAAGTAAGATAAGACTAAATGTTAGTTTTCAAGGGGTCGGAATAGCATGCTGTTGAATGTTTACAATTACATGAGTAACTGTACCTTCGAACTAGTTTGCTCTAATTTCCTAAAAAGTCCTCTCATGTTCGCAGGACTGCCCTACACTTAGCCTGCGCCAGCGGCCAGTCACCAGTGGTGGATCTCCTTACACAGTGGTGGTGTGATCTGAATGCTCGTGACAATGAAGGCAAGACAGCTCTCATCAAGGTGTGTAGCAGCACGTGAGATGGATTGGATTTAATTACTTAGAATAAAAGTGAATTTATCTGTTTGAAATATAACAAACTGCTGGAACTTGAGGAATGTTAACTTGGAATGCCTAGCACTTACAGTCTGTTTCTTGGTGTGATACCAACAGGCTGTACAATGCCAGAAAGAAGCGTGTGTCACTATCCTGCTGAAACGGGGTGCTGACCCAAATCTTGCGGACGACCATCAAAACACTGCTCTGCATTACGCTGTCTTGGCTGGAAATACATCAATTGCAGCAGAGCTGCTCCGCTATGATGCAAATATTGAGGCGATAAACAAGGTATAGCTCGACTGACTTTATTTACAAGATATTTGAAATACAGGGTCTTTTCTAGCTACAGGTGTTTTATTTATAGTAATATGTATACTGAATACAATACATCAGGCCCTGTTATCATGGAAACAACTCCAAAGCCAAGGCCAGAGGCTACAGGTAGTGCCCACAGAAAGGGCAGAGCTCTGTCTCCCAGCCACACTTGTACCCCAGAAGGAACAACTTCCCATTAGGAACTACCTGGGAGTGGGTGGTAGGCTCAGAGCCTATAGAAGATGAAGGCTTGCGGGGAGTGAAGTGATGGCAAGGGCAGGCTGCCTGCCTGGGGATGGGTGGGAGGAGGAAGGAACCCAGTACCCAGCAGGGGGAGCTGGGTGACTGCAGCTGGGCAGGGGTGGCAGCAAGCCACAGGCCCTGAGCACCCCAAGATCCCAGGTTCTAGAACCTGGGCAAGTGAGGTCAGGTCATGTTTGACAGCCAGCAGGGGCATTCATTTGTGCTGGTGGCCACATGGCCCTCCACGTACACCTTCACCTT